ACTTTTGTCACATCACTGTTCTATACTTACCTACATACGTGCAGGAAAACAGTTACTTGCCGAGATAAATATCTCTGGTGATTGATTTGTGGCTAAAGTTTTATGTGGTTATACTTTTCTTCTATGCTCGTCGTATCTTCTTTATTTATATCTATCTATATCCTATTCTAATGCAATAACATGAAAATAAAGAGAGAGAAAAAAAAAAAAAAAAAAAAAAAAAAAAAGCAATAATCAAATATAATTTATTATTTTTAACAAATACATATACGCGCATGATTGATGATGTATAAATGCATCACAATATACGTTATATAATGTGTGATGTGGTTAAAGGATGAATAACATGAATAACATCCAATATGCAATATTAAGAACTAAAGGTCAATAGATTACGTACATATTATAAAAACAGAAAAAAAAAAAAAAAAACACAAAAAGAGAGAAGAGAAAAGAAAAAGGAAAGAAAGAAAGAAAGAAAAAAAAAATCACGCTGGCATACATTTCATGCTCACATCTGTGTGTGCATGCGATTCGTTCTTGTATGCACTTACATGTTAAGACCGTCATCCATCATTATAAATGCACGACACATATGTATATACATAGGCATTGACATTTTTAAAACCACAAAGTATGCCAGAATATGTTCGCTTTTGTTATGAAATATATTTATAAGAAAATTCGTTGCGTTATAACAGCATTTAGTATGAGTACGAAAAGTGAATAAACGTTCAATAACCTTACCATCGGTTATATAAAAACAATAAAAGATTGTTTTATAACCAGCTTCCTTTTAAAAAGACCAAATAAATCATGGTAAACATTTTTTAATCCTTCTGTTTCCAAAAACGGCAAAAAAACAAAAAACAAAAAACAAAACCCATAACGAGTGCATATGTGTATATGTAAGTACATATGTGCATAACAATGAAATTCAGCTTTCAAAAACAAAACCAAAAATGTTATTATATATTTTAATGATATGCCACAGGAGGATTTATTCATATATACATATATATATATATGTATATATGAGCGCACATTTATATATCACACACAACCTTAATGTCTTATAATTTATTACAAGGCCAAGTAAGTAAGCAAGTAAGTAAGTAAACAAGCGTGTGTCGACGTATATATATATATATATATATGCTATTGTATGTAATATACCGTAAATATAGAAATACTACCAAAAAAAAAAAAAAAAGAAAAAAGAATTATTTAACTGCAACAAATCTTTACAATAAATAATATGAAAACAACACGCAAACTGGGCAAACAGTATATAGCTTTAAACGAAACTTGAAAGCCCTTTTCATAAATTGACTAAAATTGAACGTTTAACTAACGCATCGAATTGATGTGAAACTAATCATCAATTTTCATATCAATTACTAATAGAGTTGGTCAGCCTCTCATTACGCTTACTTTGTTAAAACATGATCGCTGCAAATTATTCTGCTTACATACTCACTTCCTTACCCCAAGTCATGGGAATTTCATTTAAGATTATTGTAAATTATGTTTTGTATGCCCTACGCTTTAAGTTTGTACTTCTCGATTCGTTCAACTCATATCTTTTTATTATTAGTCACATAATTTGTGAAGATGTTAACATATTTTGGTTTTAGAAAATTCTTCAAAAATTTAAATTATGACAAATAGCCATGATAAGCTGTGCTATAAATAGAGACTGGGTCAAAGCATATAATTGCGCTTTATTCTTTTCATAAATATGTTTATCCATGTTTATAGAATTTTTTTGTTAATAATAGTTTTTTAATGCAAATCAAAAAATCAACGAATTCCATAAGGAAATCTGAACCGTTAACCACTCTTGCGTGAGTTTTTTTCCTTTTCCCACACATCTTAGAGGATACGGTCTGTCTCTCTCTCTCTCTCTCTCTCTCTCTCTCTCTCTCTCTCTCTCTCTCGGTGAGTTTTTTTCCTTTTCCCACACATCTTAGAGGATACGGTCTGCCTCTCTCTCTCTCTCTTTCTCGGTGAGTTTTTTTCCTTATCCCACACATCTTATAGGGTACGGTCGTTCTCTCTCTCTCTCTCACTCAAGAGTCATGCGATATTTGAAGTAAGGTATTATAGGCTAGAGAGTCCCAGCTAGATCTTAGTAATGTCAAAATATTTCGAGCGTGTAAAAAAGCAACCAGACTACAAGAACACCACCACCACCGTCCTCGCATTATTTTGCTACACATGAGGGTTGCCTTGATAAAATTATCGCGGAAAAGCTTTACCGTAATGGGTGAGGGCAGCTGAGCAACAAAGTACGTAATCTACAGAGATACTGTCATTTAATAAAATAATATTATTATTGCTTCAGTCAATCAAGCGTAGCTATCTGTGCGTCTCTCTGTCCGTCTACCGATTTGCCTGTCATCGCAACAATAAACTTGTCGGCTTCAATTTCCTAGATCCTGGTTATTACTGAAAATTGCCGAAATCGGTTAAAGGACTCGATCAGAGTAAAGCGTAAAATGAGAAGAACTCTACCTTTTGAAAATAAAGAAATAGATATTAAACTTGTTACTCACCATCTGCAACAATCAATATTTGCTTATGCTATTTTCATATAAATGGGGGCATTGAAGATTCGGCCCTAGCCCACTATAATTTTCTGTTTTTTATAAAATGCAGTCCTCACTAAATAATATAAAGTAACATGGCGACAAGGTATTTCCTATTTCCTTACCTATCCCTATTCATTTCATCGACACATTTACCATATCTACAAACCTAAAAGACCCTCAAAAATATGTAATGTATTCTTGTCTATGTAATGTCTGCAGCAAATATTTTCCTATTCGGCAAAAAGGAAGACGTCAGCCTTCAACCCAAATCAACAAAAGTGATCTTTTTTAAATATATAAAAGTGAATCACCGCCTAACGTAATTATTACCTCATACTTATGTCTATCGGTATTGCTTCAAAAGTGTAACTTCACATTTTCCTATTTTCCATATAAACTCTGCCCATAAGGTTTGCTTTGAAAATTGTTTCACGACTCATTTAAATAAGTGGCGCAGTCAACGTTTCTGCTATGCACCATAATAAAAAGTTCAACGATTTATCGTTAATAAGTATGCATTTTTGAAAAACTAATTGATTTATTTTGTTCCGTCAGCGAATAATTAAAAAGCAAACTAACTAACCGAACACTGAATGCACTGAAAAAAGAGGGGAACTAAACTTAAAAGTTTAGGGTGAATGCATGTGAAGGCAGCATTTGTTATAGTTACAAATGCAAAGTAATTTTAAGGGGAAGGGAGGCATATGAATTGAAAGGTCCACTAAATTAGATCGCCTATATTTATAGATATATACATATATATATATATATATTTGTATAAAAATATTTAGGATATTATATATATATATATAATATTCGATATATTATAAATATTGAAGCATACTTATACTTTACCATATTTAACCATAACTGTTGTCTAAATTTAGGCTTTATACTCAAATGTTTCCTTTCTTGAATCCATTACTTGATTAGAGTGTCAAAATATATATGATTTATATCATAAGACCATTTCACATTGTTATCTAAATCTAAATGTTTTTGTTTAGCCCAATTTGTAATATGTGTTTTTTGGGGTTTTTTTTTTTTTTTTTCTGTTATGCTTATCCTACACACGACATTCATGGCCAATATACTCGTAAACTATAATGTTTACATAAAGCAGACAATTTTTCGTTTAGTTTCGTTTTCTTTTTTGCCAGATTGTTATTCTCTTAGTTATAAGCTACGTGTTTTTCTTTAGTTAGTTAGATATTCTGGCACCCAACGTGTCTAGATAAGTTTTCAATTTACCATCTGAATACGCCGGAAAGTGTGGGGGAAGGACGAGAGGGTGAGGGAGGGAGTATAGGGTATAAGACATCGAGTATGGGGTGCGGGATGTGGTTGGCCGTACGTCTTCTAATGTTTTAAATATAAATATTTTTCATGTATGTTTTTTTGTCTATGCATGCTTTTAGGCGAATCTTAATTTATTTTTATGTTTTTCTTCATGCAAGAATTTTGCAATAACACGCATAGGTAAGAATACAAAAAAAAAAAAAAAAAAGAAAAAAAGATCAAAAAATATTTATTAGTATCATTTTCGTATAACGAACATAGGGCAGAGCCTTAAATAGACGCCACCGTGTCTTGGTTAGTTGTTTTTAGAAATATTTACTGTTTTGCTTTCTTTTTTGTTTGCCATACTTTTACATATATCCCGAATAGATAAACTAAACGTGCATTACGATTACGATATTCTAAGCTTTTACTTTATTTTTTCTAAATATATTGCGTATTGTATGACTGACTGTCTGATAATGTATGCCTGTAGACAAAGTTCATTGGCCGTATCGTATAAAGAAATATGTTTTTCTTTTTTTTTTTTTTATATTTTTTTTTTTTTAAATTTTTTTTATATTTTTTTATTTTTATTTTTTTTTTTTTTTTTACACATATTTTGTTTTTACTGGTAAAGTTTTCTTTAACAGAAATTACTCTTTGTTTTCATTTACTGAAGTGTAGAAATATTGTTTTCGTTTTCTTTGCTTTGCTTTTACCTTTTGGCATATTTTCTTCGTATGCAAAACTTTTTAACAAGAAGATACGATAATAAATGTTTATAAATTTGATTTGTTAAAGAAATACTTTTACGTGTCGTGTTTTTTTGTTTTGTTGATTAAATTTATAGCATACTTTTAAAGGAATCTTATAAAAGGTAATCAAAGACTATTTTCAGTAGAATGCAAAAAAGTTTTCTAGAAGAGTTAAGTGGATTTGATAAACGATTATACAAATCTTGCTTGAAATTGTTAAAGAAAAAAAATTAAAAAAAAAAAAAACAAATTTTTGAAACAAAAAAAAGAGAAAGTGAAATTTGCAAATTTCGTTTAAAATAATTTTATTCTATTGAAGCTATCGAGTTTCGTTTTCTTAATGTTTTATTTTTGTTTCTTTTGCTTTTAGGGCGGTCACAGATCCACGAGATGGACGACGTGTAGCTCTTAAAAAGCTACCAAATGTTTTTCAATCCCTGGTTTCATCGAAACGTGTTTTCCGTGAATTAAAAATGCTTTGTTTTTTCAAACATGAAAATGTAAGTAAAACAATTATTTTAATTATATGCGCCACGAAAGAGATATTTTGTGAAAATTAAACATGAAAATTCTGAATCAAGATAAAATAAATTTGAAGTGTACTACGAATTTTTGAAAGAAACGTTCATTACTCATCAAACTCAAACCATTTTCTATTCAACGTAAATTGTAATCGATAGGATCAATGGCCTTTTGTGAGAAAATGGAAAGTCATATATGAAGGATTCTTACTTGAAAGATAAATCCAGCTTAAGTTCGAAGAGAAATTTGTTAAGAAAGTAACTCGAAAGTAGCTCGAATCAATTTTGCTAGCATTGGAGATCAATCCATCCAATCATTTCGTAAAGTAATTCTTTCGCTGCACTAAAATTTCAATAGATTGATAGTTTCGATAGCAATGTAAGCCGCTCGTTATCTAATGGTCAATATCTATCAATATTTCATTGATTTCGAATGGCAAAAAAAAATAAAAAATAAACAAAAATGTATGTATGAAACAAGGACAATTATTGGCTTAAGCCGATTCACCCAACACAACTCTTCAGTTATTTTCATGATAACCTATACCGAAAATTATATCTTGTTTCCATGTAAAGGCCTGCTTTTCATATACATGGAACAGAGACAAAACGTCCGTGAACTGAGTTAATGTAAATTTAAGAAAATTGATATTCTTCTTCGAGATCTTATGATTATCTTCACTTAAAAATTGTGCCAAGTTTCCATGCGAAGGCTCATTTTTCATGAAGATCTTGTTGTGTGATCTACAAGAAAGATCCACGCGATTCAAGCTCAAATTACTGTCTTGAACAAACTGTCACTATAAAATATAAAAAATAAAAGTGTTTTGTATCATAAAAATGCTTATTTTCCGCAGGAACGAACATATGGAAGGGGGCTGTTAAAAAAACTGCTCGATCCTAATGAAATTTTTCACATCAATTCAATATGAAGGAACTTCACTAGTGAACGATTTTTATTGTAAAATTGGAACATAATAATTTTTGTAAAATTTCATATTTTATGGATAGTGATGGTGGATGTAAATATAAATTCGATCTGTTGCTTCTGTTGCTTTCTATCACTGTCTAACAAAGAACGCCCTTCAGCTGCTTTTCTTTAAAATTAATTAGTTAAGGAGTTGGTCTTTGTTGCCTAAATCTGGGCTGCTAACTTGTTTCTTTTCCTTATTTAAGAGACGGTTGCGGTAGAATATAAAGCAATAGCTTTTACTACAAATTCCCGTTTCGTTTCGCATACCCATGGATGCGAAAGATGAACTTGCAAATTTTGTTTGCTACTAAATAACATTCAGCAATAATAGTTATTTTATTGCATATGACCAATCACTCAGTGTCAGACGTCTCCTATTCGCTTAACGCGATGACCAAGTTACCAAGAAGTGAGGAAAGAAAAAAAAAGAAAGAAATGGATAGCTAGGCGACTGAGTGCGACCTAAAAAAACTCTACCACACTGAGATTTGAATCCGCGAACATTAACTTGGTAGTCGCACATTCTTACCTACTCGCCTACTCATGCGAAGAAAATAGGAAGAAGTCCTTCCTAGTCAAGACTTCGTATATACATTTTTTTATCATCATAAGGCTTTCGAAATGAAAACATACATCTTACAATGGATCAAAATAAGTCTGCAATTAACAAAACACTTTTGCAATATTATAAAATTGTGTTAGAGTAGCGGGTATCTAGAATTCCGGCCAATGTATGTATAGTTTCCTTGATTTTCCATTATTCCATTATTATCAGCTTTAAATGCATTCCATGGCTATACTTTGCACAAAGAGCTTAAATTAGTTTCAAAGCCTACATTAATTTTGATGTATTAATTAAAAAGAAGAAGAAATGGGCTTTAATTTCTAATAAAAATTTTCCCTTTATAGTTCGCATGTTTGCATTCGCCTTGCATATCCTAATAAAGGGATTTACCTTTCACTAACAGGAAATTAAATTTAAATACGTGCAACTAAACGTGCAATCAATCAAAGAATTAAGTGCTAGGAAGCATTTAACTAATTTGCATTGACGAGCAAAGATGGATTTAAAAAAAAAAAAAAAAGAAAAAAAATATTAATATCACAGTGGCGTGTGAAAGTTTTGATACATTGGAGAGGAAAGAAGAATTTTGTGATCAAAATAAAAACTAAGACTATTCGAAATTTATCGAAAAATCGAAAATAATACCGTTACCCCTTCTATTCTCCATCTCTATTTATTTCTCCACTTTTCTCTCTCTCTTCTCTCTCTCTCTCTCGCGACATTAAAATTCAATTTATATCATAACATAAAACTAATCTTGATTAAATAATTAAAAACAGTGGCCCTCTTTCTATGTCATTATTATTATTACTTTTTACAAATACATGAACACAAGAACTATGCATGCATGTACATGCATAATAAATAAATATTTATCAACACACATTCATGTGCATTTTTATGAGTGAATTCACAATTCATTCATGTAATTAATTTAAAATACAAATGCCCGAACCAGTAAACTATACAGTATTCACAGGAATTGGCATATAAATGCTGTATTAATATTTGGGCGTGCATATATATATATATATATATATATATACATATATGTTTGCATATACAGCAAACATGCACCATACCACTAACGTGCCATAAACTAAAATTTATAATGAATTGTGCTGTTGTGGGTGTGTTTACAGCACACTCAGTAAATATTGTATATTGTATATATATATATATATATATATATATATATATATGAATAACTGAAATTGTCATTGGCATTGCACTATGGAATTGAATTTATACAAGTTTATTTACATTTATGTACGTTTGCATGAAAATATGTATGTGCGCAGGCATGCATGCATGCATGCTTTGCTTCTTAGATACCAAGAAAAGAAAAGAAAAAAAAAAAAAAAACACACATACACACACACACACACACATACATACATACATACATACACCATACCCAAACGCTAGCCTTTATACATTCATATTTATTTTGTTACACGCTTCTGTTACTTGGCTGGAATTATAAAATTATTCACACGTTACTACGATGGCAAATCATGTAAAGAATTTCAATACTCCTACAATTCTTTCTAATTGAGGAAGTGTTATAATCAACGTATAAAGACTACATATATATACATATATATACATATTGGTGCGTATGTTTGATCTTTTCTGTCAAAAAAGTAACGGGAATTTTAAGAAAATATCAACACTTACTCATCTTTGCTTAAAGAAGCTGCATTTTGCTACGATTAGCTTCATATAACGGAACGTAACTAAAATCGATTGCACGATCGGTTTGCATTAAATGATAATTTAAGAATTGGAAAATAAGAGCCAGATATTACTGAGTCATATTTAGCGAGCGTCATGCTAAGCACGTGTAAGCACTTCTACACAATAAAGACTTTCTTCGGAACACACTCAAATTGTATTAAGCTTCATGCGTAAGACCTCCTATCCCCTGAATAGAATCATGAAAAACTTTCAATATATATATCACGAGATTATTTACACGCAATTCATTTGATTTTATGGATCACTATTGACCGTCAAGAATGAGCCAAAAGGTTCAATTACTTGTCGATCATGGACTGACACATCGTGGACTCGTATCGTTTTTTGTAAAAGAAATGTTGAGGAAAATTCTTCTTTTTCGATTTGTTTTTTTAAACCAATTTTTTTTTTTTTTTTTTTTTTTTTTTTGTGTTTTTTTACTTAACTCATGTACCAGATCCATCCTGGATTTGGTTGTCATATTCGCTTATAGGTCTATTTATTTACAAAAACGTACTGCCAATTAAAGGCGATTCCTGGCACTATTTTCACAACAAAAATATATCCATACACATGAGCGTCTAACTGATGAACAGCTGCTGATAAGGTTGATACTTGCCATAAAACAAAAAACAAAAGTAAAATAAAAACGGAATAATAACAATTTCCGTTAAGCAGATAAATGAAGCAGAAAGCGTACCTAATGAAAGAGTTATTAATTTCTAAATTTAGGTGAGGTTAGCTTGAACGACATCAAACGGCATCAAATTTCATCAAAAGTTTTTTTTGAATGTTTTCAACATACACGAACATATATATATACATAAGCAATGAATTCATAGATTACGCAATCGTTTACGAACATTTCCGCTTTGTTCTTTCAACAACTTGGTGCTACGATAATAAAATTTTAAATATTTACATTCAGTGACTGAATGTCCTCAACTATAATAACAAAATGAGAAATCATAGCATACAATATAGCGAACACAACAGGTCATAGAACATATCATATCAGTTTATAGTAACGGCACACTGTGGTTACACTGTACTCTGTATAGCGCTTAGGCAATGATTCCTTTCATTTCCCCACAAATTGCTCACAAATATTGAATAGAATCAATTCATGATTTTTAGATTAGAAATCCAAATCTTCTATTATTTATCTAAATTTCAACGATACGCGTTACAGTGATTTTCACGCGATTAATATTGCGTTCTCTTCGTATCAGAAAGGATGCGAAGAGAAACAACAGCACTAATATTTGTTGGGCTATACTTTTCGCTTAATAACGTCATTGAAACGTTTTTTGACATATTTTGTTTAACTTTTCGTGTCTAGCGAGATTGAAACAGAGACCTTACTCCAGTCTACTTTTCAGATGTTTGGCGGTAGAGAATATATCCGAAATACCAAGTTTGTCTGTAGTTTCTTTCATATTCTCCTTCTCTCCTTGTTGAGAATACCATCTATAAATAGCAGTTTTCCTGCTCCGTTAGCTGCAATGCATGTCCACACTAGAACATGACCATTGCCATGCTCGCCGTAAGCCGTTGATACGAGAGCACAATAGGAAGCTAAGAGTAGAGAAAACACGTTTCTAAATTAATTGTTTTCGTTATATTTCGTCGTTTCACTAATAATTGAGCGGAAATTTCTGGGCTGGAAAATTCTAGTCATAGCTTCCTATTCCTAAATTC